GAAACAGCACTAATTTCAAGACTGAGAATCTGGCGGCTTTCACACAAAGTCACATCTCAACTTTGACCTTTAATGCTTCATCTGAACACCACAACACCAGTATCACTTGCAAGATCAACTTCACATGTGGAAAAACTACAGAGGAGACTTTGACAGTAAATGTGAACTGTGAGTACTTCGTAACTTATTGTTATTGTTTATATCTGTTTTTTTTATCTATTGGATGATCAGTAGAGTCTTTAAGGAAACAACATGATTGTAAAATGTATATTTTTATCTTACAGACATGAAAGAAATTATAATCATTGGGAATTCAACTGTTAGGGAGGGAGATATTCTGAATTTGACCTGCAGTGTTGAAAGTTTCCCTCCATCTGTGATCGTGTGGTCCAATCTTGGTTCTAACACAAAGCTGCACAAAGACACTGGATCAGCTACACTTGTCGTCCATAATGTGACACCAGAACATTCAGGGCAGTACATCTGTACAGTAAAACATCTGGACACAACTCCAACTTCATATCTTGATGTAACTGTGACTTGTAAGTCAATGTCATTTTAACCTAAAGTTCATTAACATTATAGCTTACAGCATCTCCTGTTTTATGATTCTGACTACATGTTTACAGGGCATACAAAGATACAGAATGGCTCAGGATGTGTGCTTCAGTCTGATGGTTTGACGTGTGTGCATCAGTGAAGGCTTTCCTTTACCTAACATCACATGGCCTCTGTCGAATCACCACACTGAGTACTCTGTCATTACTAGTGTATCAAACCACACAGTCAACAGCACTGTCAGTCTCACTGTAAAAAAACCATGGCAACAGCACTGTTGAATGTGTCAGCAACAATGGAAATGGAGAAGAAAGAGAAAACCTGCTAGTCCATAAAAACCTGTCTAAAAAACATGGTTTGTGTTTTTCAGCTAAACACTTTCCACTTTAACATTTTCAGATTTTTTAGTCCTGTATTTTTAACACAACCTCTGTATTTGCATGTACTACTTATAATTCAGAAACCACGGATATTAACTTTTTTATTTTTCCTTTCCATTTTATTTCCCTCGAGTGCAGAGCAACTGTCTAGTTTCAGGCTGGAATTCCTGAAAGTCATTAAAAGTCATCATTGGTCAGAAATTGCTATAGGTGCAGCATTAACTTTAGTAATTATTATCAGGTTTTCTCCGTAGATAAATTTTAATATATATTTGTAAACATGTTCTGTAAAAATTACCTTTTCTCCAGAAAAAAAAGAGCTCCAGAAATTTGAATTAGAGTTTGGAAATAGATTTTTGTTTGTTTGCATTTCTTGTTGACTTGGGTGAATAATAACCACAATCTTTTTTTTTTCAATAGAATTGATAGTTTTTAATATCGATTTTTACCAAATGGTTTAAATATAACTTAATGGTTTACTTGTATGTTATGTAAATAGAACTACAGTAGATAATACAGCTGCAATTAAAAAAAAACAACCTGATTTTTATTCCAGCAAAGGAAAATATTGTATCAAACAACAAAAAAAAGTGCATTTCAGATTTTATTTTTAATCTTGACTGCATCTGCACTTTAACTGCAGCAGCAGAAAAGTCTCACATTCAGGACAATGGTGATTGTATCACGCCCTGCAAAATCATTTGTACTTTCAAAATCAAAAAACAAGAAATAGCCCAAACAAAGGAAATATTTGCAATAAACATTTCTGAATCAGCATTTCTCAACAACATTCTATAGACTATGTATCAGTCAACGTGACGAAATATGTGCAGTATGTTCACAACTGTATAGATGTAGAGCAACCAGCAACTCATTGGACACATGTGGCTGTTGAGCCTCTCAGCTGTGGCTCCTGGAAACGCTAAAATTACATAAAAAGCTAAAGTTACATCTGTCATCTGTCTCTGCCCCCACAGCATTTTAGCCCCCACGTGTGTGTGTGTGTGTGTGTGTGTGTGTGTGTGTGTGTACATATATAAGATACATAAAATATGTGTGTCCATGTGCTCTCTTCTGTCTTACTGCAGCTCGTGTGAAACACTGTGGTTCTTACAGTACAGTTCTTCCCTGGATTGTTGCTGGTGTATCTCTCACTTTGAATGTCTTCTGCATAATCTACATATGGTTCCTTTGGTATGTTTCTTCACATGTATTTTTATGGTTTTTTGACTCTTTAGACGATGATTGGCTTCTGTTTCTTCTTATTAAAGGAATTCAAGAAAAAAGGTGAACCTACATCAGGAGGAGAGAACCTACATGTCACTGCAAAAAGCAGATGTATCATCAGATTATGATGTTATTGCACACCATATAAACTGATGAGTCAGGTTTCAGATAGCTGTGTTGTTTTAATGGCAGCCTGTAGTCAATACTTTGGTGATGTACTTAATTTAGTTTCATTGTCTTTATTAAAGCAGATACTATGGTATTACAAATTTTAATTTAAATTAGCTATTAAATTAAAGTTTAATATTTGTTAATTTTTTACATTGCATTGTAAATAAATGAGCTTGTTTTATATGTAACAAATTACACTTTCTATTTCAATTTATACATAGAGTTTAATAAAATTGTTCACCTCTCTACAGCTGCAAATTGAGCTTTTTTTTTGTTCTTTTCTTTTATCTTTGTAAGTTCAGCAGGTTGTAGCTAACAAGGCTACAATTATTCTACCTCTTTATGGATCAGATCAGTTCACTAGCTCAGTTCACTAGCTCTCTGGGGTCAGTCACATAGCACAGTTTTTCTACTATTCCTCTTTGGCATTGTTGTGGAGGAAGTGTTAGTTGAAAGCAGAGATACTCTATAACAAGACACAAGGATGCCCACACAAACACGCATCAACACGGACACACTGAGAGTGAAGCAGAAGACAGAGACACAAGGACATATAATAAACAAGAAACTAAACAAGGAATAGAAGAAACTCAAAACGGACTAACTTTAAACTAATTAATAACCTAAAACCTAAACCATTATACAAAATATCACTAAAACACATGAAACTCAAAAAGTTGGATTAAAAGGATCCAGAGCCACGGCTCATATCATCACCCATGAACTAACTTCACAGCTGGTCAGAGGTTTCTGTGCTGATTTTTGAGTCAGAATAAGTTGTTTGGCCTTGGTAGAGAAGGTTTGGCAAGTTATTCATAGACACAATCTATACACTCAACTCTGCTGCTTAGCCTACAAATGTTTGGGGAAATATAGTCAGAAAGCCTGTTTATAAGATTTACTGCCAAGGATTGTTACAACAAAGAAAACATCAACCAAACAAAAATTTCCTCATTTTTTGTGCAACGTACCCAAATTTATGTGGCTGATAAACACAAATACACAGCTCAGTTAACATTTATCATAATACCATAACCCAGTGCCACCTGTAAAATTAGCTTCACTTGTGAAACAAATGAAGAAAAAATGTATGTGAACTGTGACTGCTTTTACTATTTAATATTTTTTTCTATCTTGATGAAAAAATGAGAAAGTTATGGAAGTTATGTGATTGTCAGTTTGTCCCTTATTTCTCTCATAGGTCTGCTCATAGATATAAAGCTCACTGGCATTATAAGTCTGAGGAAGGGTGAGACTCTGAATCTGACCTGCTCTGTTAAAAGTTTTCCTCCATCTCAGATTGTGTGGTCTAAACTTAGTTATAACCAAGGGCGTAGATTTGGCATGCACGGAAGGGACATGTCCCCACCAATATCCTGTGATTATTGAATTGTCCCCACCAATAATTTGATAACTTATAGTAAAGAAAAACAAAACCGATTGAAAGAAAAAAAACGATCTGTCAAAATTTTATTCACCTAACGGTGCAGAAAGTGTTAAATTACGTTCTCTACTGGAGTCCTACCTCATGTGACAAATATGGCCAGTGTAACTGGCTGTGCCTTTCGGGGAGCTCTGTTTAGTTTTAGTAGCGGCAAGCCTGCGCTGCGAGGACCCGCAAGGAGGATGATGGCAGCAAAAAGGAAAAACCTGGAAGAAACCTGTAAGTCACTTAAAGTCAAGTTCACTCATAAAATGTGTCCGTCATAATAACATTACAGGCTATGCTAGGCCATACATGCCAACCCTCCTGATTTTTCAGGGATAATCCAGAATTTCAGTGCCCCTCCCAAACATCTTCCGGAGCCACGATTCTCCCCAATTTCTCCCGATTTTCCACCTGGACAACAAAATTGAAAAACCATATCCAAGATTGGCTCAGCCAATTCCAGTTTCCAACAATGGCTACTACTACTGCAGCTACTTAGTTTTAATATTACTCTTATTACTCTTTCTGGGTCGCAAAATAAACTTTTAACATATTTTCAGGCGAGAATGTAGCTGTGTAAACTTCAAATATCTGAGGCGATGAGAACAGCAAACTCCGGGCACATAGTTTTCAAACGATGGCCTGGGTCTTCCCTGGGGCCTCCTCCCAGTGGAACACCTCACCCAGGAAGCATCTTTGTTAGATGCCTGAACCACCTCAACTGGCTACTTCTCGATGTGGAGAAGAAGTGGCTCTACTGTGGCCGTATTTCTCACCCTATCTCTAAGGGAGAGGATAGCCACCCTTTGGACGAAGCCCATTTCTGTGCATAATTTTATATTGTTGTTAATAATAAATTAATTAAAGCAACAAAACAACCTGAAGAACCGGTTGGGATCCGAAAGATAGTGAGTCGTGCCGAAAGAGCCGGTTCTCTAAAAAGAGACGGAAATCCCATCACTAGTGGCAATGTGTCCTTCACAGTGCTATGTGTCTGCTTCTCTGGGCGGAATCTGACCATGACTCTCCTCTGGAGAAACTACTCTTCACACAACTACTCTTCACCTGATTGTCAGTGTGGGATTATAATGTTATTTTATGCCATGTTAGACCCCTAATTAAAGATTGTGAATTATTATGTAGTTTTAGTTTGCATTATTCTCCTGAATTAGAAGAAGGTGAGAACTATTACATTTGTTAAACTGATTTGCATTACATTAGACTGCTGATTTATTGTGAATGAAAGATATTGTTTTGTGATGCATTATACTGCTGAGTTATAAGAAATACTGTTCGCAGAAAGTCATCGCCTTATTTGTCTGATTAGAAGAGAACAGAGCATACTGGAGAGGTTTTCTGCCCCATCTCAGCAGGAGCAGATAAACAGGAAGCCAAGGTCATAGCTTGGGCGCTGTGTGAGAGAAAGAATGTGAATGTTTAAGCTTTTATGATTAGGTGGGGGCCACTAGAGGCTATAAGAGTTTGATCAATGCTCCACCATTTTGAGATCTGATGCTGTCTGCGTACAGTGTCCATCTATTGTATATAGCGCTTAGCTCACGTTCACAGAATCTAGCTCTACTTGATTTTTGGCTCTAGTTCATGTTCATTGTTTTGCACCTAACCACGTACTTCTATATAGCCCTATCCATGTTATTGTTAATCACTGTTACATTTGTTCTTGTAAATAACTTTATTCACGTCAATTTGAGTCATGGTCTGAATCTGCATTTGGCTCCATCTCGGGTTCTGGCTTTTCCAGCTGTGACACCATGCCCATGTAAATTAATTAATGGTAATTATGTAATTTATCAGCTCCCTTTTATCTCAGGGGATAGTACAGCAGATTGATCAGCATATTTGGTGCAGCCTCCTCCATTTATTTGAGCTCAGAACAAGGCTGTTCGTGAGACCCAGGAAACATTTTCATACAGTATTAAGAAGTATTAATGAGTGTACCTGAAAGAGTTGGTATAAAATGTTTACATTTAAGTATAAGCTTCTGACCTGCAGTTGAGCACTGTGAGAAAACTACTTCACACTGATCACAAAGACAGAGTACAGTAGAGGTTTATAAGAAAGAGGAAGTGTCAGTTGAAAGCAGAGAAATTCTGTATCATTGTAAAGAAAAAAAACACATTTTAATGATTATATTAAATATTACATATAAAATATAAACTTAAATCTTAACAGAAAAACATGTTTCTGCTTCCAACAAAATGATCAGTGTTTTAAACACACATTGTCCTTTTATTTTAACTTTAGCTCAAAGCTAATTTTGGTTTATCACCTTTTATTATATTTGGCATTTGCAGAGAGGCTGCAACACTTCTGCATATGTGGACATAAAATATGCAGAAGTAAATATTCTTAAGCTCTTTAATGCATTCAATGTTTTAATTCAATCATTTAATCTTTTACACTGAGTAAATAAGAAAATACTTTGATAGCAATATAATCACGCTGTATGGGTTGTATAAAGCTGAGGTAATATAAAAATAAGCTATGTCCTATACGAGTCTTTTTTTTCACTCTAATATTGAATTGAATATTGATTTATTGATTCGCATTCAAATATCTCTGTGGATATAGAATAAAGATCTACCACAAAGCACGAAAGCAAAAGACAAGGCTAATCAAAAGGTATCGGCTGAAGCATATTCTTATTACGCATATTGAGGGTGTAAAGTGCCTTGAGGTGAATGATGATGACTTGATGCTATATGAATATATAAAACTTGTTTTAGCATCATTACTGGAATATCAAATCTCAAGATAACACAGTGGGTTTAAAAAAAAGGTAAATTATTTAATAAACAATGAACATTTTATAATTATACCAGAGGAACAAGAATGTGAGTCTTTAAAGTTGAGTGGTTTACTGACAGACTTCCTTGTTGCAAGAATGAGGAAGAAAAGGAGAAGAGAGGCGACGATGAAAAACTTTAGTCAGCAGACATCAGTGAGAAGAGAAGCTTGAAGAACAAAGCAAAGCAGGTAAAAACAAGGTTTAAAGTCTTTCTATCTTTAAAAAAAAAGAAATGTAAAGACTTTTTCACATATGTAGAAGCGCTGGTGAATGAGACCATTATTTATTAATTAAATTTTACGATTGACCCAATGCTGTCCTCTTATTTGGCAGCTAATATAGATTTATTTATTATTACAAGTAATTATTATTGTATCATATTATTGTATTGGTGCTATTGCTGAACTGTGATTATAATTTTTATTTTTTAAACAATATCTAGAAACAGATGTCACAAAGGTCTTTTTCATAAAGAATGCTGGAGTATTGGTATAAGCATGCAACATCTTTTATTGAGCTGTGATTTGAATTGTTTACTTTTTCTTTGTTTTAATTTTTGTTTTGATTTCTGCATGTTTGCTTCATCTGCTGGATAAGTTATCCTGTGGAGGGAGAGACTGAACATCTCGAGCATCAAAAATGTTTGTTCTCATCTGGTCGGTTCTGTTTGTCTCTGTGAAAGGCAGCATTGCTGACACGGGTTTGTATCTTGTCCTTTACTGTAATTCTGCTATATTTGTATTTGACTTTTTAAAATATTTGCATGTAACACTCTTTTTCTGAAATGTATCCAGATGATAAGAATTTATTATTACCCACAGTTCATCATAAATTTGTGCCTTTACTATCATCTATTGGCTCGTGTGCCGTTTTAATTTAATGTTTTGTTAAACGTGTTCTGAGATATTGTTGATGCACATCCAGGGAGATTCCATAGGCTGGATATAATAAGCTGTGAAATGAGAACATTATAGTAGTTGTGGAGTACAGCACAAACAAGCAGCCTGTGTAAAAGATAAAAGTTACTTCAATATCTTTAATTAGACATGCTTATTGTTGTAAAGTAAATATTCTTTATCACTATATTTATCTTTCCCTTTGCATTAACAGGTGCCTCTGCCTTGGTGCAAGAACACTGTGGCAAAGGATACTGTCTTAATCTCACTGAGCGAGAACTAACAGCAGAGGCTGGACTCTGTGTTGTGATCCCGTGTTTTTTCACTACTGCTGATGAGTTTAAAACCAACCATACAGTTTGGTACAAATGTGAAACATCTCAACACAGTTGCAGTGATCCTGACATAATATTTCACAGCAACAAAAACACAGACAAAAGAGCTCAGTCTGGGTTTGAAGGACGAGTCTCACGTTTGGAGCCTGATGTGAGTCAGAACAACTGCAGCATCATCATTAATGATCTGAAAGAGTCTGATTCTGGATCATATCAGCTCAGAGTTACTGGTGAACTGAATGGGAAAGAAGATGGATTCACATTCATTCCAAGAGTAACTGTCTCTGTTAAAGGTATGAAAATCTATTCCAAGGCCAATCATGTAGAAAAAAGTCATGTACAATAACATATTTAGGATTTTTATAGTCTTAATGAAGTATTAACTCTTCTGGGGAATTGTTGACCTCTATGGTAGCTGGTAGGAACTGCAGCAGTTCCTGGCAAAACTACCATTTTCACTAAATAGCTTATTATTTGAACCCAGATTAATGTGCTAGATGAACTTCCGGTAGTTAATTTGGGTTCATTAATGCAATTTATTTCCATTAGGTCTTAATCTGAAGCCCACAGTAATGATTCCCACACTGACTGAGGGACAGCAGGCCACACTGACCTGCACTGCTCCTGGTCTCTGCTCTGGATCTGTTCCTGAAATCACCTGGACATGGAGAGGAGCAGGAGGGACTGAATCTTACATTAAAGGAAACAGGACTGACTTCAACACTGACAATCCGAAGTCTTTCACACAGAGACACATCTCAACTTTGACCTTTAATCCTTCAGCTGAACAGCACAACACCAGTGTCACTTGCAAGATCAACTTCAAAGGTAGAAAATCTACAGAGGAGACTTTGACTGTACATGTAAACTGTGAGTACTTTGCAATCTCCCATTTATTGTTTGCATTTTTTAAAATCTATTGAATCATCAGCAGATTCTGAAAAGGAAATAACATGATTGTAAAATGTGTATTTTTATCTCACAGATATGAAAGAAATTACAATCAGTGGTGTTACAACTATTAGACAGGGAGATGTTCTGAATCTGACCTGCAGTGTTGAAAGTTTCCCTCCATCTCTGATTGTGTGGTCTAAACTTGGTTCTGACACAAAGCTGCACAGTTATTCTGGATCAGCCAGGCTTGTCATTGAGAATGTGAAACCAGAACATTCTGGACAGTACATCTGTGCAGTTACATATATGAACAATACCCTGAAGAAGAATATCAATATCACAGTGATATGTAAGTACACAACTTTGTGCTTTTAAGCAGAAGATTTTTAGCAGTGGTCATATTCGTTTCATCTGGTATCTGAAATGGTGCATTTAGATTAGTGTAATTCTTTTGAATAACTCTTACAGCCACACCTCATTAAATATGTGATATCATCTCAACATCTGTGTATATTGGCTTTGAAATGTTTAGACAGTGATACCACTGACGACTTGTATTTTTCAAAAATGTCATTTAAAATAATTTTGATAAGTTGAAGACGATGTACAAATGTATATCTTTTATTTATAGATGTAGAGTAAAACTTTGTTTAGAAAGAGGAACACTGTAGAATGCACTATACAGGGGAAGTAAGAGGAAATGTATTAAGAGCCTTTTGAAAACTATTATGATGTTGTACAGTGACCAAATTGTAATTTGCATTTTATTTACATTTGTGGCATTTTACACTTTGCATTAATTAAACTCGCGTTGTTATCATTCTTATCCTTCATTTTTCTGGTTGAATGATTACATGTCAGTGTAACTTGCCCTCTCCATAAATATACCACTGAAATCACTGAAATGTATTTTACAGATAACAGGGCTGCTCAGATCATTGGGAATACAACTGTTAAGGAGGGAGATGTTCTGAATCTGACCTGCAGTGTTGACAGTTTCCCTCCATCTCTGATTGTGTGGTCTAAACTTGGTTCTGACACAAAGCTGCACAATGGCACTGGATCAGCTACAATTTTCATTCAAAATGTGAAACCGGATCATTCTGGACAGTACATCTGTACAGTTACATATATGAACAATACCCTAAAGGAAAACGTCACCATAACAGTAATATGTAAGTACCACACATTGTCACATTACTGGATAACATCATCAGTGATGTCATCAGCAGCCTTATCATCTTCCAGGTTAATTTTGCAGTTGAAGCCGTGAAGAATGATTATGTGCCAGTGTTGTTTCCAAACTCCTTAAATAAACCACCTAAATATTCTCCACAGATAACAGTGCTGCTCAGATCATTGGGAATACAACTGTGAGGAAGGGAGATTTTCTGAATCTGACCTGCAGTGCTGAAAGTTTTCATCCATCTGTGATTGTGTGGTCTAAACTTGGTTCTGACACAAACCTGCACAATGACACTGGATCAGCTACACTTGTCATCCATAATGTAACATCAGAACATTCAGGGCAGTACATCTGTACAGTAAAACATCTGGACACAACTCTGACTTCATATGTTGATGTAACTGTGACTTGTAAGTAGATGGCATGTATTTTTAACCTGAAGTTCATTAACATTATAGCTTGCAGCGTGTCCTGTTTTATGATTCTGACTACATGTTTACAGGGCATACAAAGATACAGAATGGCTCAGGATGTGTGCTTCAGTCTGAGGGTTTGACCTGTGTGTGCGTCAGTGAAGGCTTTCCTTTACCTAACATCACATGGCCTCTGTTGACTCACCACACTGAGTACTCTGTCATTACTAGTGTATCAAACCACACAGTCAACAGCACTGTCAGTCTCACTGTAAAAAACCATGGCAACAGCACT